GGTGGGGCTTATCTCACCTGAGATAAATAAGTTTAGTTTAATGTAAAATCAGCCAATGTAATTGACATCTTAACAGAATAATAACAAGAACAAAATCATCTCAGTAGATAAAAAGCACTAGATAAAATTCCACAAAATTGATTATAAAATCCATAGTATACTAGAAATAGAAAAGATATTTTCCTATTCTGATCAAATTTAAATTGTGTGTTATTTAATGCTATCCTCCCTCAGATTGGTAATGAAACAAGAATGTTTGTTTTCACTACTTCTGTTTATCATGATATTAGATGCCTTAGTGAGTGAGTAGGCATAAGGCTTAGAAATAAAGAATATTGTCACTTTCATGGGTAAAATATCAACCTTTTACACAAAAAATCTTAGCAAACACACAGGATATGAGGTCAATAATTATGGTGTTGTCACTGCTATAACATCAGCAAGCATGAAATAATCATACATTGTGCACACATAGAAATATCACACTATACAATATAAATAAGTGCAATTGTTATATGACAACTAAAGGAGAACGATACCATTTTCATGGATTGGGGACTCAAATTCAGTGATCAATTCTATCAAATTGATTAATAGGTTCAGTACAACTGTGATCAAAAGCACAATCAGATTTTTAGCAGAAATGGAAAAGTTACTTCTAATATAGTAAAACTAATGGTCCAGAAAAGAAAAAAAATCTTGAAAAAGAAGACCAAAATTTGGGAGTACATAGTGCCTGACTATAAAACTTAACTTTCAAAAAACTACTATCAAGACAGGATGGTATTAGTGTAAGGATAAACAAAGAATAAAAAAATATTGTAGAGTCCAAAAATATCCATAATGCAGTTTACTTTCCACCAATGTGACAAGATTCGTCATTGGGGAAAAGAATATTTTTAATAAATGATACTGTAACAACTAACTAGATATTTTAAAAATTTATTATCCATTCTGATGCTACATAAAATTAATTTGAGATAGACCATAGCCATAAAATAGAAGTTTTTATAGTTTTATACAGAAATTTCATTAAAACATATGAAAATACCTTTATGAATTTTGGATGGGAAATGATTTCTTAAAATCACTGCAAAAGTATTGAACATGACAAAAGTAATATAATGGACTTATTAGAAATAAAAATTGTATGTATATCTGTAAAAATTATTAACTCGATAAAATGACTAACCAAATGCTATGAGCCTCTATTTTCCATAAATATCCCCAAAAAGATTTGTATCTGGAATACATAAAAACTTCTAAAAATAAACAATGAAAATATAAAACACCTAGTAAAAATGGGTGGGAAACCCAATAGGGAGTTAGTTCATTACAGATAAAATGAAACAGTCCCATGAGAACTTGAAGCTAAGCAAATATAATTTACTCAACAGGTAAATACAGAGTAAAACACATTGATACAGCATCACTCACCAAGCAAATTGACTAAAATTATAAAGACTGTCAATATACAACATAGATGGGAACATGGAGCAACTAGAACTTTCTTACTGATAGTGTGAATGCAAAATGGTGCATTATTTTGCAACACAGCTTGGAATTTCTTTATTAAATACAGACTCTTTCTATGACTTAGCAATGTAGTATTCTGGATATTTTTCCAGAGACATGGAAATACATATCTAGAAAAAGATTTTACAAGGACATTTGTGGATGTTTGGTTCATAGAGTACCCAAAACACCATGAATGTCCATCAAAAGGAAAATGGGATAAATTAATTGTAGTAAATTCATACCACATAAAACTAAATAATTGATAAAACAACTGAATTATTGAAATATATGTGTGAAGCTCAAAAAAATTATGTTAGCAGATGCAGTGAGACACAAAAGATATGTACCTTGTGGCCCATTTTTGTGGATATCAAGGAAAGGAAAAACTGGACTACGGTAGTAGAATTTAGAGCAGTATTTGTCCATAGCAGATGTGATTTGAGTAGAAGTAGGCATAGGAGACTTTCTGAGGGAATAGAAATATTTTATATCTTGAATAATAATTATATGTAGTCAATTACATTTACAAAACATCTCATTGTATAATTATGACCTATACATTTCGCTGTCTATAAATTTTACCCCAAGTCATTCTCCACCAAAATGTAAGGGTTGAAAAGTCAGAAATTCTTCCAGTTCTCCACTTACATGTGAGACCTTAAGTTCTATAACCTTACAGAATTGCAGTTTCCTTATGCATTGTGGGGATAATAATATTCATATCATATAGTCATTATGAGAATCACACTTGGTAGTGTATGCAGGATATTTATCAGATAGCTACATACCCACAAATTATTTGCCATTATAGAAAAGATGTGATTTTCAAAAAGTCATTGCTATAAATACTATGAAATCAAATGTTATTAGTGAAGAATCAGCAATGTTATCATTAATGATTTTTCTGTAGTATACATGTTGAGTATTTAGGATAACATAATAAATGGACACATAGAGCCATAATTTTTTTTGACTACTAAATCAATTTATTTTTAAGAAAATACTAATTTATTTGTTAACAATTTAATGGAGTTATTTTTGCAGTCACTATGGACAAAACATATTATTTATACATTCAGGCACATAAAAGGAAACAGATACATTTACAATAATATTTTAAGCACTTGGGCTTCAGTGCAGGCAACAGAAAGTAATTAAACACAAGGGTGTTTAAAACTTTTTCTTAGTGTGAAATACTTGCTGAACTGTCAAAATAGTATTTTAAACATGTTTCAATACAATATTGCTTCCAGTAGCAATAGATAATGTTGAAAAATTGACATAATACCCATCTTCTTTTTTTACTATTATGCTGGAGGCACATTGTGACATTTACAAACTTCTTACAATATATCATAGTTGAATTCACTGCCTCCATCATTCTTGTTTATCCCTCCCCTCCATTCCGGGAATAGTTTCAGCAGGTTTCATTTTCCAAAAACATATATACACAGTATTTACACCACGTCTATCCCCTTCTACGCCCTTCCCCACATCTTCCCCCTCCCACTGGTTCTATCCCCCAAGGCAGGACCTGTTCTGCTCTCCTGTTCTTTGATCCTGTAAAAAAAATTGACATTTTGTTTGTTTAAGATAACTTACAGTGGTTTCCATGTGACATTTCCATGTATATATGTATTTTAACCCCAATTACTATTATCATTCTTGTGTGTTTGTGTGGTACTGGGGTTTGAACTCAGGGACTCATGCTTGTGAGGCAGGCATTCTTACCACTTGAGCCACTCCACTAGCCCTGAACCTATAATTTAATACATCATAAAAGGATCCATATTTTAAACGAATTATTATTACAAAATAAATGCACATTTTGAAATTACAGAGATAAAAGTGTTTGGAATCCCATAACCTATCATAACGAGGCTTATTGTTTTCAATTATTATACATAATCTCAATATCTAATACACTATTTATATAACATTTTTTACATAAATTTTTAAATTATCATTGGGCACACATAGTTGATATCTGGCATTTTCATTTACTTAGTATTTTAATTATAGGTTATTATAGTTGACTTTCTTGTCTTTTCCCTACATTTCCTAAGACAGATGGTCTTTCCATACAAGTTAATGCACATATTTTGTCTTTCCTGTTAGTCTGAACACTATATTTTATAGATAAATCCTCTTTAAATAAATACTGAAATACAAAGATGGCAATGTCAACTAAATGATCTGAGCTTTAATAATAAAACCTTTTAAATGTATGTAGATCCAAATATATAACAAACTATTAGAACTTTAGTAATTAGTTAGAACATTACATTTTCAATATTTAATGCTACTATTTTTCTTTAATTAAAACATTATAGGAATTAGTCTTCTTAAATAAGTCATGTTTGTCCTGCATTAAATCAATTAATGTTTTTACCAAGCTCCTTTATAATGATAATAATGGAAATAAACCTATTTTTAATATTTACATTATGCAAGGCACCATAAAATCAATGGAGATGTGAATGAAGCTGGTGGACTTTGTATATCCATGCCAGTTTCTAGTCTGTAGATCAGAGACTGTAAATTGTTTACCAGGTTAAATTCAAATGACATCTACATTGTTTTACAAAAATATGAACTGTTTACTATTACTTCACATTGGAAACTGTCACATAAAAGTTCAAATTTCTGACCTCATCTCACATACTTAAGGTCTGACCATTCTGGGTTGGAATTGCTCATTCCCACCAGCCACCAATTCACTTGAACTTAGTAGCAGTCGCTCCATTTAGAGAGGGCTTACCTCAAGTTTTCCACAGACACCACCCAGTTGACCTCATTCAGGTTACCTGCCTGGATTTAGCAAACACAGCTCACTAAAAAAAGAAATAAATCACAAAGCAGCAAGAAAAACTGCTCATGGTGCTGTGTTTTCATTTAATAGGTACTAAATATTGAAGAAAATAAAAAGAAAAAAATACTACAATGAAAGAGAAGTTGGGTAAAAGGAAATCTCTGACTTCATTAGTGACCTACATTATTATTAATATTTTTAATGTTGTATCTGGGTAGACACTGGATGATTATGTTAGCACAGACTAATTTGCTCACTTGCTGTATGTCTACCCCCATCCTTTGTCCTTTTGAAGTACCTCCCACGAATGTCCAAGACAACTACCTCACATGGACGTCTTTTTCTTTATTCAAAGAACAGCTTGTCTGGGGGGTTGATACCAGTGGGAGAGGGGAAGGAGATGGGGAAAGACATGGGAGGGTGAATACAGAGCAAATACTGTGTTCACATGTATATAAATGGAAAATGATACCTGTTGAAACTATTCAAGAAATAGTGGGAAGGAGGCTACAGGAGAATGATGGAGTGGGTGCATTCAAGTTTGATATATTTGATATATTGTAAGAGCATTTATAAATGTCACAATGTACCCCCAACCAGTACAACAATAAAAAAAGAACAGCTTGACATATTGTTATTAAAATGCGGATCTTTCTTTGATTTTTACAAAGGCTGAAGAGATAACTTTAACAATTGGCCAAGCATTCGACTTAGCTTACAGGAAATTTCTAGAATCTGGAGGAAAAGACGTGGAAACAAGAAAGCAGATCTCAGGGTTACAGAAAAGAGTGAGTAAATGAAGCTTGTTGTTTCACACTTGTGTCATGTAAGTACAAGGAAACTTGCATATCATCAAACAAATTTAGAAGACCTGCCATTAAATTTCCCTCACACTGATTGGAACTGCTTTCACTGTGTTCCTATAATTTCTCATTCCTGATCCCCTGCACAGTTTTTAACTATTTTATATTGAATTCCCACAAGAGCTTAGTGTTCTCATGTGATTTTGCTTCACTTCCTGATGCTTCTCATGGGGATCAGAGCAGCAGAAGCAGCAGATGCTGGGTAAGTGGTTTCCCATGCAGATCAGATTCCTTTATAATTGAATTACACCCTTTCTCCACTCTTCATGATCATCATGAACAAGTTTCATGATGTCATGTGGTTGCACTTCAAGATTTTGGATACTGATTACACAGTGCAACAAGAAAACACAAAGATGACATGTTAGGAACATACAATTAAAATATATTTTAAATTTAATGTCTTTCCAGTGAACTAGAATTCTTCAACATGTCCCAAGCTTTATCAAGTAATTTTCTTCCTTGTGCACAAGTGGACATTAAAATTCTAAATAGTATAGAATGCTATTTGTCAAAGCCAATATTCCTAAGATAAAAAAATTCTGAAAATTATTCAATAACCATTTTCTTTTTAGATCCAAGACTTAGAAACAGAAAACATGGATCTTAAAAATAAAGTACAAGATTTGGAAAGCCAACTAAGAATAACTCAAGTATCAACATCTCCAGTAAGTATATTAAATATGTATACATGTTCCTTAGAAACAAGATTTTTGGGTGATAAGGTATTTCTGGATCATAAGATCTGCAATAATTCAAATAATACTTTGTGATGAGTAATTTAAAACTAAATATGAATAGAGATGAAGCCTGGTAAACAAGGTTAATTAAGAACGTGATTACCTAGGTAGATCAGTCCTCAGTCATTTCCGTGCTATTCTTTATCTTATGTTTTCTAAGATAACTTAGACCTCAGTTTTGTCTTAAGGTTTAATATACTTTTGCTTTTTATAGCATATTAGTTCTTTCATTCCAGTTGGTTAGTGTTTACTGAGGTTAGCTGCAATAATCCATGTTAGTCTGTCCCTACAATGCTGAACTTCATATAGGAAATAACAAGATTGAATATACTTACTTATATTAAATAGAAAGGGTTCCCACTGGGAGTGAGGCAATTGTGTTCCAGACACTAAAATGAGTGTTTTTCTCTGGGGAAAACACTCAAGTATTTACAGTTAAATTATTTATTTCTGATGTGTTGCAATTTTGAAATCCTTTTCCCAGTACAATCTGTAATTCTACTTTTACATGATTTTAGCAAAGGGAATTTTTGGGTGGAAGGTAAAATTTAAAGCAAGTTTTTTTTTTCAAGGTGAAATGTATTTAGAACATATCTACATATATGCATATATACATATGTACATATCCAGGATAGTTCACCACAAAGAAGAATGGCTCTATGAGAAGCTTGATTTATGGCTTCAAACTTGTCATGCCCTGGAAATGGGTGAAAGTTTTCTTTATTCTAAACTCACACTTTTCCATGCTACATAGTGAAAGAGTTGCTATTTCCTTTGTTTGATATAGGATTTTTAAAAGTAGGAATGATGTAGCTAAGAGAGACTGAGAGTGAGGTGCCTATGTACCTCTGATATGTAAAGTCAGGTACTGGAGCATCCTCCTCAGGTTCTGACTTTATTACAATATTCCTTTTTATTTTATCTCTGTACTGTTTGATGTTTACTAAGATTATAATTTTTTTCTTGCCTCTCTCTTCCAAAGAGACAGAGTATCAGCCAGATTCCTTCTTTAACTTTTGGCTCCAAAAAGGAACACTCACCCTTCAGAGTCTTGTTGAAAGTTTTTTACACCCATGCTGTGAAACAAAGTTTGAGAATAATAAAGAAGTTACTTTTTTAAGGATTCTTAAGAGGGTAGCTCTTCCTGGAATTCACCACATATGCTCTGGTTCAGTCTTTGTGTTGACAATGGACCAAAATAGATGCATTGCCATTTTTAATGTAATGGTGTATCCTTGTTCAGTGTATTCTTTTTCTTTGAGAAAGAAAAAGTTGAGAACATTGTGTTGAAGGGCAAGATTTAGGAGGAGTAAAGATGCTTGGGCATATTGATAAAACTGCTTCCCCTTGCCTTTATTTTTTTCTCTCCCCAAAGCAGACACTGCCTTGACTAGCAGTAGGCTAAATGAAAAGAGGTTGGGTCAGGATTGGGGTTATGAATGTGCACTGATGATCTCTGATTACCGAGTCTGCAGCAGAGATGGTAAAGGATAGAAGTAATGATGAGTCAGTCCTTGTTTTAGTTTCTTTGACCATCTGGCTAAGATAGCTCTTATATGCAGTAAGCATGAAGATGGTAAAGGATAGAAGTAATGATGAGTCAGTCCTTGTTTTAGTTTCTTTGACCATCTGCTAAGATAGCTGTTATATGCAGTAAGCATGAAAGTATGAAAATTAAATACAGGCTGTGAGTATCTGAATTCATTCAGTAATTGTTATTGTATAGTTACATAAAACAATAAAATTATTATAATAGTCATTAAAATGAATTAGTTCTTGTGAGGTTGGGCCATTTAATAATTAAGTGTTGTAGTCATCTCAATTCTGAATCTATCTGAATAAAATACTTCATATACTACAACTCAAAAGTTAAATTAAAAAAGAAATCATATTTTTACATTTAATTGATGTGTAGAAAGTGTATCATTGATACAAATGAATTGTAACTTAACAATCTATATTCCTTTTCCATAGTAATTTATTGCCTTTGCAACAGTAATATCTTTGCCTATACTTTTTATTTCAACTTCAAAAATTACTTGTTATGTAAATTTCCAGCTCCTAGTGTCTGGAACTGCTGAAATTTAAGTGTAAGATTAAGCGTTAATATTCACAATGTAAATTGATGACATATTTGATCAAGTAGTTTTGGAAATTTTATTACACATATGTGTTAACATGATTTTTTTTAAAGAGCTCATTGATAAGTTTTATCTTTCATTTTGAATTTCAGTTATGTAGCTATGAAATAAACTAATGTAACACTAAGTATAGCTGTATTTATTTCACATCTGTTATAATGAGCTCCCAAATTATTAAAGGTAAAAGAAATAAATTTGTTACCTGAAATTATTAACTATTAAATGTTGCCATGCTTATAGATATCCACTTTTAAGACTTATTATTGATTCAAACTATAGAAATCTTATTGGATAAGCAATGAAAATTTTAAATAATTAAAGTATAAGTGTGCCATTGTCTGCACTTAAATAAATTTCTGTTAAGTCTGAAATATTTTACATCTGTCCTTATGAAATTGAATACTGGTTTTATGGGACACATAGCCAGAACACAAAGTACTTCACAGAGTGCACCCATGACTAGCAAAGTAAATGCTTATTCAGTTCGTAATCCTGTAAATGAGGGTATAGATTTTAGTTGTTTGTTTTGACCTCAGAGAACTGAAGGATACAATGCCTCCAGACTATTGAAGTTGTCAGCAGTTTGTTTAAAGGATTACAGGTAGTGGTCAACATATTAAAGAATCATTGAAATGAACTATGTATCCTATTATGCACATGGAAATTATAATGCAGGTAGGTTTAGTGTATACAGTTAACCTGGTTTCAGATTCTTGGCAAAATTTCTGTGTTGTATTAAGAGGAGTCCCCAGAACAAACACTCTTCATAACTTTATGAGCCCAGCACAGAATGTTTAGGTGTCTCGCTCAGTTAGTTCAGTCGTGGTTTCCTTTTCTGACAAATACCCTTTGGTAGTGACCATAACATATATCTCTGTATTACACTGAGATCATAGAAGTCTTTTCAGTAGCTTTAGATATTTTAAATGAACATTTAGATACACTGAAAAGTTTCCGTTACTTGACTTTGCTGTTTGCTTTTTGCTGTGTTCTGGTGGTTTGGCAAAGGATTAGAGGTTGGGTTTTCTACCATTTGGTACTAATTATCTAGGAACAATCTGATTTCCATTTATTACATTCACATGGCAGTGTTGCTTGTATTTATATTAGAAAAAGCGTTTATTCTGCCCTGCTAGCCTCCTGAAAACCTCCAGAAGATTGTTACATTATAAAATATGGGGATAGAAGTTAAATCAAATTGTTACTCTTAACTCATATCTGAGTGCTTGCATTTTACTTTGCTAGCTCTAGAAGCTTTTAACCAGATCAGACTATTGGCAGGGAGTTAAATGAATAAAATTGTAGTTCTGAGGAATACTGGACTTTCTATTGCTGAGTAAAATTGATGTCTCCCTTTCAGTTAAACCCAGTGTTAGATAAAATTCTACTTTTACATAGTCAGCTGTGTAGCCACTGATTGCACTTGATAAGACAATTATAACCTAAAATGTGTACTTCATTGTGGGTAAACAAACCTACTTATTTAATTTTCTTTAGTGCTTTCTCAACTGGTTTTGAAGTCAGGATGGGCAAGAGCAGATGATGAAAACTCACAATTACACAAGAAGCCAAACATGAGTCTTTAAACAAAGGCATAAAGTTTAAACATGAACATCGGTACAAGAACATTTGGTGCCCACAAGGCATGATTACCAGGCCCCGACTTCACTTTCATAATTGTTAGTTGCTCCAAAGATGATTTGAAAGAAGTTACCCTCATCTAAAAGGAAGTTAATTCTTTCTTTTTCCAGTTCTGACTAGGAGCACCTGGTCAAATCATTTGGCCACTCTTTGACCCATATTTCTTTTCATGATCGTGTACTCTTAACTTACAGCTTCCTGTAGGAACTGTAAGATAATAGGTCTTTTAACTAAGAAATTAATATAAACCAAGTGTAGATCTAGAAGCCTAAAAAATAAATTTTTGGCACCATAAGTCCTATATTAGTCAACTAATTATTTTTAAAACTTATTTAAAAAGTGATGATGGGAATGTGCCATAAGAACAATCTTTAGAGCATGACTCAGCCTGGCAATCTAGAAAGATCTGCCAGAATACTTTACATTACTATTATCTTGCTTTTCATCAGTGTAATTTCTTAATTACAAATTTTTAATTAAATTTTAATTAAAATATCTCCATTTAAATTTAAGGAATTTATTTTTAAACATTTTTATTAGTATATGAATTATATGGGGAGCTTCATTATGGCATTTCCATGTACACATATATTATACCCCAGTTTGGTTTATCCTTTAAGGAATTTATTTTTAAAATTTAAATCTTAAATGGAATCTTTGACTTGTACTATTTAAACATTTATGATAAATCATATTTTAATCTGGAAGTTGGTTGCTTTATATTTAAAGTTAAGTCTGGATATTTGTATTTCCAATGCAATTAATAGCACAAAATAAAATTATACTATCCTAATATTTCTAAAGACATTACTGCAGATCTGTTTAATTTTAATGCAGGTTTTTTTGTGTGTGTGTGTTGTATTAAGTGTTTTCAGCAGTTTACCTTTACTGTGAGGTTTATCAAGTAAGATTTTCATTGGCTGCCTCAAAGTCCTATTAGTATTGAAAATCTTCTACAGTGTGACTTGTACCTGAGGACCCAATGTGTAGTCTTTTGACCTGATCATCGGAAATGAACACGCCTACTAGGCAAAGTTTTATGGGAAAATCTGCCTTCCCCACCAGCGATTGTGCACAATTTCACAATTTGGAGGATTTGAGTGAAGTACTCAGATACCACTGACCAACCATGTTCATGTGCATATCTGCATTTCTAACCTTTTGGGGGCTTTGACTGAAACCTCTCTTCAAATGCTTCTGTTCAGACAGCCTTATTCTGGGGCCTTGGAGGCACTTTTCTCCTTTATGACTCAGTATTCAGTACTTTTCTACTCCTAGCCTTCTCCTTTTCCCTCTCCTTGGCCCCTTGTCCAAAAACCCTTTAGGAGCCTTTTGTTCAGGTCATTCAGCAATGAGCCAGTGCCCTATTTCTGCCATGATCCTTCTGACCTTTGCCCAGGGTCATTTTCTGAGGAAAAGTGGAGTATTGTTGGAGCAGGCACCTTTTCAGGCCTTTTGCCTATACTCTTGCAGTAAGTAAATAAAGGCTTAATTATTAATTCTGTTTTGGCTGAATTAATTGACAACTGTGACATCTGTCAGCTAAGCTTTATCTAGCTCAGCTCTCCATAGTAGGATTCCATGCTTATAAAGGGAATAATCCCTAAATGTCTTCCAAAGACTCATGTTCAGACCAGGTTTACTGGACTTATCACTCATTATCTTTATACTTTCTTTGAGATTCTTGACAACTCTACCTTTCCAGAACCTAAACATCCTACTTTATAGAAGTCCTCACTACTTATAGGAAGGACGTAATGACTAGTGTCACGTTGAATTTTATCTCTGCTTCTTAGCTCATTGAAGAGTAAGTCCCAATGAATCTAGGTCCTAATTCTTTATGTGCCTGTTGCTAATAAGATCATATTACTATTGCCATTAGTAATAGTTACCAACAAGGTTTTGAGAATTAAATCTAAAATGCATATTGTAGCATTTTTGACAATTGTATACATTGATTTAGAAGAGTTTACTCCTACTTCAGTGATTGACTATCCTTTCTCTTCCCATTTCATCACACAAAGACCCTCTCCAAAATAAATCTCAGAATTTCCTCATTTTCTTCTCTACTGTTTTCCTCTCCCTTCCTAGTGAGTCCAATATTCTATGTAAAGTAATAAAATGTAATATTGTCAAACTAAACAACCAAGAATTTCAAGACTACCACAAGAAAATCAATGGCAGTAAAGTTAATGTGAGACTATCTTATTTTAATAAAACACCCTTTTGCAAATAAGTTTTCACCTTACTTTTCCCTTCCTCCATACTTTCTTTCTTTTCTTAGCATATTTCTTTTTCTGTCCTTCCTTTACAGCTGCTGCACAGAATGTCTGACCATGAACCACCTGGGTTTCAGAGATGCTCACCCTCTTTCTGGAGTAATAGTGATGATTCACCTCCCTGTCTAAATATGTCTTCCATTTCTGTCCCTCCTGTCAACTCATCTGATTCCAGACTATCACAGAGACTGTTAATACCACCACCTCCTAAATGTGGCCTTCCCAAGCCAGTCAGTGAAAGCAGCATTCCAAGACCTCATGTAATTTGCAAAGCAGAAAATTATTTTTATTATCCCCCTCAATTTTTAAATTCTTCCAGAATGTGTTGTTTATGTAGCAATAAAAAGTTAGGTATTCTTAAATTCATGTGATGAGATCTGGAGCCTTTGTGTGCCAGTTTGACTTCCTTTAGTTCCCTGTTATCACAGTTTCGAGTAGAGTGGAGATAGTATAGAAATCCAAAAAATGAAACAAGATAACTACTTCATACAACCCATCAGACAGAGCCTTTGGGAAAGAGATCATTGGGGCCATGTACAAAAGCAGTTTCTGCATATTTCAATGAAAATAATTAGCAATGTCTATACTGATCTGCATTAAGTCTAGATTGAATGAGGTAAAATTGGGACAGGAGGATTACTGTCTTTTTTAAGGTGCTGAGACTTGAAAAGACAAGAAAAGGAAAGATGAGATGCTGGAGGAATAAAAGGCAACAGAGTAAAGACATATTTGGCTAGTTGTTTTGTTGTTATTGACAGGTAAGATTTGAGTATTTTTATATCCTGAGCAGGAAGAGAGATACTGAAGTCAAGGAAGAAGGATCTGGTGATTAGGAGAATATTCCTGAATAAGAGGAAAGGGGTGAGGGACACAGTAAGCAAATTGTTAAAGAAAAGATAACAGTAATTTTCCTGCAAGAAAAAATTCACTAAAATCATTTTAACTGAATAGTAAATTCTCAGTCACTCTCTGCATATAATCAGCCTCCATATTTTTTTACCACCTGCATCATATACGAAACACAAGTAAGTGTATTCTGAGAATTCTAACTTCAACATGAACCACTCTATGCAATCTCTTCCTGGTCTAATAGAAGAAGTAAATTTCCTCTATTTCTCTTCAGAATGGGAATTCTCTTTTATTTCTAATCAGATTAGCTGGTTTCCACAGGAGATTCTGCTTATATATTTCCCTTGTTTGAAAAAATGATGATTATTTCATTTTCCCACTATTTCTTGGCTACATTTCCATAGGATTTTCTTTTTCTCTATATTTATTCAATCCTGACCCAGACTGTATCAGATAATTCAATAATTTTGGTGGCGCATTGGTGATTATTGATTTGTCTTACAAGGAAGTTCCATATAGGAAAGATGGTGGTTTCCCGGAATGAAATATACTACTGTGAATATCATGTTGTCATCATTGTACTTAGAAACATAAATTAAAATAAACTCTACTTTTAAGAATATAAAAAATTTAATTGTATTTGAATGTTTACAGTTCAGAATGTGAGTCACTTATGTTCATTATTTCTGTTTAAAATTTGCAAACTATGCAAAGTATATTGTGGGAATCACTCTTTTATGTAAATTGTTTCTAACATGTTTCTAATTTTGATACAAATGGCAATTATTTCTAGATATATATAATCCAATATATCTTGTGTATCCATCTAGAATAGTACTCTCACGATCTTTTTCCGTCAACTTCAAGAATTTTTTTTTTTTAGAAATTTTCTATGCTTTTTTGCAGATAGCATTTGGCATAACAGTTTGGACCATATGAATCTGTTGATACTCAGATTTATCCACAAAATGGCTATGATTCAATTGAGTTTGTTCATATGTGTTCCATGCATTTGAAATACTTGTCATTGTAATGTGCTTGCATGAAACACCACCCTGACTCATATTATCATATTACAGGTAGGCAGTGTGACATCCAAGTCACCTTCCACTGACGTCTTTGATATGATTCCATTTTCTCCAATATCGATACCTGCTCGCAACGGCACACAGCCACCTCCTGTTCCTACTAGATCTGCAGAGATTAGTAAGCTTTCTAAATCAATCAATATTTCTTGCTATATTTGGGTATATTTTACATGTTTAATTGACACTTTGTGAGAAATTACATATCTTAACAAACTCACCAGAATTTTTTATTGAAGTATTAAGTATTTATATATAAACCAAATTCAGTTAATTCTATTTTAGTTTGTAATTCAGAGTATATTACTAAAGACATCTCTGTTTGCAATTTGAACCTGTTGTATGAAAAATGACATTTTGGTATTGCTTTATTTAAATCATAATGAAATTAATTATTTGTTTATTTCATTTAGGGTTTTATTTTTAACGTTTTACTTACTCAAAATAATTGTTAGTAATTATTTCAGCCTTTTAAATATGTTTAATAGAGTGATTTAAATATTGCCATTATAGAACACACAGAGATTCTTGGTAGAAAAATATGTAAATCATATGATTTGTTTATATATTAACATTATGTAAGGTTTTTTCTTTGATATCCAAAAGCTTTTGTGCTTTATCGCTGTATATCTTTAAGTAATATCAGTCTCTTTTTCGATAAATTAGAAAACATCCAAGAGACGTTTGTTTTCTTTATTCAGTTTTTTTTATTAGTTTATAATAGTTGTATAGGGGATTTCATTGTGACATTTCCATATATGTGTACAATGTATCCCAGTTTGGTTTGTCCCTCCCCCCTCCATTATTCTTCCTCTTCTTGATAGATGTTCATTTTCAATGTCTTGGTTGTATCCTGATCTGCGCTCTACCACAGAAACTGCTAGAATATTTCCCAGTGACCAAGAATCAATTGCTAAGCCCAATGGGAAACTGAAGAAAAGAAACATTTATATTTTATGACTTATTTCATTCTCCCTAATTCACACTTGGTCATTTTGGATATAATTCTGAAGTTTTTGCTGAGGACTTTAATAAAAGGCAGTTTGGATAGTACTTTGTTTCCCCTTGTAGAACTTAATAAAGTACAGTGCTTATCTTGAGTCTTCAACACATTTCGGAGGACCAATTTGTAAATAAAAAGTTACAACATTAGAGACTTTAAAAATCAGCTAATAAAATATTTCAAAGCATCAACTCAAAAGATACGTTGGAAAAGACAAGGATTTTTGACTAGGAAATAAAAGAAAAATAGACAATGGGATGACATCAGACAGGAAATCTTTTACACTGTGAAGAAAACAAGAACCATCTACAGAATAGAAGGAATTATTTTCAAATTATACATCAGATAAGGAAGTCAAACAGCTCAGAAGCAAAAAACCAACTGAACTAAAAGTGGGAAATAGGCCTAGATAGATATTTCTCCAAGAAGACATACAAATGGTCAATATTACTAATGATGTGGGAAGTGCATATCAAAACCATAGTGAAATAGCACTTCTCTTCAGTTAGAATGGCAATAGTCAGAAAGATGAAAGACAGCATGTACTGACACGGATATGGAGAAGAGGGAACTCTTGCACACTATGGCAAGTACTGACTTACTAGCCATCATGAATACAAATATGGAGGTTCATCAGAAAATTTTAATAGAGCCACCTATTCCAGTACTTGGCATTTATCCAAAGGAAATGAAATCAGCCTGTCAGAGAAACATCAGCATGGCCATGTTAGAACTATTCACAATAGCCAAGAAATGGAAACAACCTTAGTGTACTTCAACTGATGACTCAATAAGGGAAATGTAGTACATACACATAGTGGAACATTATTCAGTCATAAAAGAATAAAATTCTGTCATTTTGGAGATTGCCATGTTAAGAGAAATAAACCAGGCACAAATAGACAAGTACCACCTGATTCCACCCATATGTAGAATATAAAATCATTGATCTCATAGAAGTTGACAGTAGATTGATGGTGACAAGAGAGTAAGGAGAATAGGTAGAAAGAGGGACAGCGAGAGTGGACCAGTGGGTTCTGAGTTACAACTTGATAGCAGAAGTTCTGACGTGCTATTGTATGATACAGTACTGTATATTTCAAAAAGCTGGAAATATGGGAAGTTTTTGATATTTTCAACATAAAGAAATAAGGTTTGAAGAAATAGATTTGTTTAATACAATTTAAACATTACATTATATACATATCTATCAATAATACATAATATTCAATAAATGCAATTTTTATGTTTTTATTGGTTAAAAATAAATTTATTTTAAATTCTTAAAAATATTTTTAATACATAAGGTGAAATATATTTTAAAATTTTTCTTATATGTTTTTTGCCAATGAAAAATAATTTTTCAAGGAAATAATCCATGCATGATATACATGTCAGAGTGTTTTATAAAATCCCAACACTCTGATATTATGATTGAGTAGTTTTTACTTCTGTGAGTATTCCCATACATTTTTCTTTGCCCCATCTTTCACTTTTTTAGATTTCTCTACAGATTCACTCATTTACTAAATGAGAATGCATCTTTAACATATACTAGACTTCAGCTACTGCTGAAATTTTTTTCATTTAAAAATATCTTATTGATATATCCAGGTACTATACACAAAATAAGAGTGCACTTGCTTAGTGAATCTGTACTGCTACAAAAAGATCACAGATCCTGTGCAGAACTGTGCTGAGTACTCGTATACTTTCTGCCTTAAATATGATATTTCTTGCATTAACAATTTAAGAAACATACTCTTACCAGTTTCTGGCAACCACTATTTTGTTCTCTTCTCACAATGAACAAATTTAATTCCATTTTCATTTTCATTGACTATGTGTCTCCTCTTGAGTATGAATCAGACTTTGTTTAATAACTGTATTCCCTAAGTCTGTGAAGGAATGGACTTGACTCTTTTTGCACTACTTTAATTCATTAACCAGCAAAATGCATTACATACATGCCCAACAAATATCTCAATGAAATTTTTTTAACTCCATAGTAAATTTCTCTTCATGGAAATTGAAATTATATGATGCATTGTTATGAATTTCAGATCCACTCTACTTTGCATGAAATCAATATCTTTACTTCACATATACTATAGTTGTTTCTTAGCTCCCAGGGAAGTCATAGACACTTAAGAGTAAGTTAGAAACCTTTCAAGTAGCATGAATGTTATTTCTTGTATGTCATTGAATTTGGAGAATACAATTTCCTGAAAAATAAAGGTATGAATGTGTATAGATACCTAGTCAGATATTTAATTTTGCCAACTTAGGTTGCATTAGGATAATTCTGAAGAAAGATATCTCTTAAAATTTTATAAAATTTTAAGACACATAATAAGCCATAGTTTATCAGTTACAAACATCATTTTAACTCTGATTTTCTCTTTTTAAATTTATTTTTTCAAAATTTTTTGGCATATTATAGTTGTAACTGATACTTCTTTAGTGATGAAAAGCAGAGCATACTTTAAAGTTTATAGAAAAAGCACTGTTTTGATATTGCATTCCTGTTATCTTCTGCAATAAGGGGAGTTTTGTTAGAACTTGTCTCAGGTCTGAGAGAGTGGCACAAGGTGCAGAGCATATGCTTACCAAGCCAAAGACTCTGAGTTCAAACCACAGTCACCTTCCAAAAAAAAAAAAAACAAATTCTCCCATTGTGATTATCTACAAAGGTGATGTGATTTCATGCTAATGAGATAATGTTCCTTAAGTTTTTCTGTCTGAAATATAAAATAAAAGTAAATGATGTATGAGTAAAATTACTTGCTTATTTACTTAGTCCTATTTATTAATTTACTATTGCATTGCAATACATAAATTGATGGAACTAGAGGGCTCGTTGTGTGACTTAAGTGATACAGGGCTTGCCTAGTATGCACAAGGCTTAGGATTCAATTCCCGGCACTGCCAAAAAATAAAAAGAGAATCAGAGAAGTCTCAATTAGTATTACATTTATTTTAGTAAATTTAAAAGCTATAATAAATTTTAATTATCAAAATTTGCTGAAATTGATATTAAGAAGTCTTCATTAAACACACGGAAACCTCTGTGGATAATATTCTATATAATCAAACCATTTTTAATCTCATAAAACATGTCTTTGTTACCTTAGTTGGTCTAAGCTTCAGAAAGCCCCTCATAAATTTTAACTATTAGCTCACTTAATCATGTAAATATTTATACATATTTATAATTATATTTGTATTTATTCACATAATTCTGCCTTTGAAATCTAACTCACCCTCGATTCTTGTCATTTAATTTAGTAAAATGTTTTCTTCCTTTTAGAACGGGACCTGTTTGGAGCTGAACCTTTTGACCCATTTAACTGTGGAGCAGGGGATTTCCCTCCAGACATTCAATCAAAATTAGATGAGATGCAGGTGACTATCTTAACAGATTGGACCATAAATGGTTTATCTCCTTTAATCTGATATGGATTGTAATGGTTTATTGTTTTGAAATTTAGAAGTTAAAAGGTCATTGCATTAGATTTATAAGATTTGATCTGGGTCTTAATAATTATGAATTTCAAAATTTTAGATGAGTAGATGAGGGAAAATCTTTCTAAGAGTGAAATCATTCTGTCTGAAAAGAAGCATTGTAGTTGTCATGAATAAATTCTGGGTTCTTATTGAAAAAGCAGACACCCAATGACAACTTCTTCAGGAATGTAGTCCAGTTGTGTTTTCCTTTCTCTCTCTCTCTCTCTTTCTCTCTATGTGTGTGTATGTGTGTGTATCTCTGTCTCCTTTTTCTCTCTACTCTTTCTCTTTAATTTTTTATTTGTAAATCACTCTGTAATATAGAAGAATTGATTTTATAAGCTTTATATCATGATTAGTAAATAGACTTAAAAGACTAGAAGCAAGTCTTCACTTTATATTTGTCCTTCACATTTTCAAAAATTACTATATCCTTTTTTTTAATAAAACAAGTTTGTAAATGGTAGAATCCAGACAGACACCAATTATATGGTGCTCATTAAAAAGAGATGGTGAAAGCACTAAAGTAAGTTGGAAGAGGTATTTCTATTTGGTAGCCTGAGTTAGTGCATTCATTTTGTGCTTCACCCTCCCCCAAAAAAAATCAATGGGTGAACTCTGATCTAACACTAATAAATACCCTCTTCTCCCAGAAAGATAACATAAATATCCTTCCACTGATTTGAGACAATAGTCATGTCTTATTTTCTAATTTTATGTGACTTTCCTTATTGTTCTAGATGTGATAACATAGTTGCATTTAAAAAGTTGAATTATTTAATCAAACCTTGGAAGACTTGCAATTCCCTTTTACATGAAAACTTATTTTAGACCCTTTAAATTTACTTGTTGTTAAAAAAACAACCAAGTATTTCCTAAGTATTTGCAAAATTTACCAATTTCCTAATTTATGACTTTCCTAAGTAATTACAAATGCATTATAAACAGCATCCCTTTATGTATTCAAACTTTATGAATTAAATAAAAGCAACATTACAACACCAATAAAATTCAAATTCAGAATTTAAAATAATAGGATGGATGACGTTATTTGGCTGAAACAAAAAGCACTATATCAAACTTCTGTATATTGTCACATGTCTGATGGCCCAAATTTTCCACTTCTTTTCTGTATTTCAAATACAGAAACTTTCACTCAAATAATGCATGATTAATTAATGAGAATGTTATATTTCTTTTTTTGTTATTTTCTCTTCTGTTTAATTACTTCTAATATTATTCAGTAACAAGAATATGAACAGTGACACAATAATTTACATATTATGTCTATGATTTCATGAACACTGTAACACTCTTTTCAAAAAGGTATAAAATTCATTGCTGGGCACAGTTGTTCATTCCTGTAACTCTGCCAATTAGGCTGTACCACCTGAGACAAATATGTTTGTAGAAACACAGCAATGAGCACTATTCTTGTTCTCAGTGATACAGAGCATAAGAAATATTTTCCATGAAGGTGTTTTTTATCACAAAACTGAAAACTTCTAATAAGTGTTAAAAGATAGCCCTTTGACTTCAGATGTTTATAGTAACCAAATTTGAGAAACACTGTATTAAAATGATTTAGGGATGGTTTAGTGAAATAAACTGTGGTGCTTTTATTTTTGTTTTGTTGTTACTAACATTTTCTTAATGTCTTGTTTTATTCCTTTCTGCCTTCATGGTTGGTAGCGCCAAAGATGGTTGGTATATTCTTTTCATAAAAATTTTAAACAACTTATAACTTTTTAAAAGCTAAAGCCTTACCCTGTGCACTTTTTAATAAATATTCAAACGGAAGTTTCATACGGATGTGTGTGATTGTTAGGTGGCTTAAAGAGCTTTAATAATCCAGATTCTTTTTTTTTAATTTATATTGTTGTGCTGGGGGTGGTGTCTTGTGTCATTTACAAAAGTTCTTACAATATATCAAATGTATCATACTTGAATTCACCTCCTCCATCATTCTCCTTTATCCCCCCCACCACTCATAACCCAGATTTTAAGGTTATGGTTTTCAATGACTTTGTCAGTATTGAACTGAGCACATTGTTGTTTGCTTCTTTTAGTCCAAGACTTATTTGCAAAGCCACTTTAACTAAAGTAACATAATCTTCTCTTCATCTAAAATCTGTGATGACTTTTGTTATTAATCTTGCTATCCTAATCTAATGTACATATTTAGCTATTATTCTTATCTTTGTGTGTCATGTAAAAGCATAATATAGTGTAATAGGTTCTGAGCTCTCTATGGAGTTAATAAGCCTAATGAAAGATTTAGTTTTCTTCTTTTCTTTACAGAGGATTGTGACTATGATATTACTGAATTATTAAGTTTGAAATCACAGAAATACCTCATGCATGTTTAAGCAGAAATGATAAGCCATATTTCATTTTAAATGGTTAGAAAATTAGATATTTATTTGAAATCAATAATGTCACTATTTCATCTGACATAATTTGAATACACAGTACATTTCTCCAATAGAAAAACCAGTGGGAATGTATGGACAGACCAGCAGTGTACTTTGTGAACTAGAATAATTTATACATTTTTAAAGAATGGAAAATCAATGAAGGAAGAAACAATTATACACAAATGGTGTTAAGTCAATTGGATAATAATTTGAGAAAAAGATCAATACACAACTGAAATTTACAGCAATTCCTAAATAATCTCCAAAAGAATTAGGCAGTTTAAAATGTTTAGAAAATAAATTGAAGAGAAAATTTTATAAAGAAAATGTATAGACATGGTTTTCTAAAGTTCTTTAAATTTTTCTCATTAAGAATATATTAATGTATCACATATGCATAAACACATCCACAAATTAATAGGAAACTAAATGATCAACAGGTAAATAAAAGCAATAATTCACAAAAGAAAACTTATGTAGCTAACAAATATGAAAATGTGCTGTGTTTAAACAAAATAACATAAAGATAAAGAACTATAAATTCCATTTTTATTGAGCATGCTAGCTATTTTATTTTCTTATTATCAGTCATTACAAGTGAAAATGTGAAGAACAAGCACTGTAACTTATTGCTTGGGCAGGGATAGTTCACATCCTTCCTTTGGAGAGTACTTGTTATTAATATTTGTATTTAAATTTGGCATAAAAATCTTTAAAACTATTCTGAGTAGAAAAGAACCGTGAATTTGTTAAATATCTATGCACAAAAGTACCCTGTTCACCTGCCTTGATTGTGAAATAGTGGAAACAATCAAATACTTTAAAAATTACTAATATGTCATAATAATAATGGGCAAAGTAAAATAGAAATAGTAATATAGAACTAGAGTGATATAGAAATTATGGGAACAGTAATGTAGAAAGCTAATTCTTTTAAGATGAAAGCAACAAAATAGAAAACTTTAACTAATATATGCAGTACAGTTCATAAATATTGTTATATGATCATTAATTTAAAAAAAAATCTGTAGATAAGAAACATAGAGGAGCTGGGTATGGTGGTGCATGCCTGTCATCCCAGCTACATGGGAGGCTGAGATAGGAGTATCATGGTCCAAGGCTTTTCCAGGAAAAAACAAGACCCTACCTGAAAAACAAACTAAAGATAAAAGTATTGGGAGGTGGCTTAAATGGTAAAATGATTCCCTACTAAGTTCAAGGCCTTGAGTTCAAACCCCAGTACCTCCCAAAACACCCAAAACATAGAGACTTAAAGGACAGCCTCAAGCATGTGAACAGTTGTTGCACATAGGGGTTTTTGGTTCTTGATATGATTTTCTCTATTTTAAAATTAAAAAATGCAATTAAGCAAAATGTTTCATATAAAAAGGACATGATTAATAATTTTATTAATTATAAAATTATCCTTTTTATATTAGTTTATAATGATTTGGCAAATAAGACACATTTTTCAGTCAGAGTTTTAAAATTCAAGAGAATACGAGTAGGATTCAGAGATCATTAAATGATGATATAGAAAATGAAATGGTTGAAGGAAGCCCAGAAAAAAAGCAGGAGATTTTATTTGAAGAGGAACGCAAACCAAAGAGCTATGTAGTGATGCATCTGCTAATTGTGATGATTAGATTAGCTTAAGGGAATTCTGAAGTGTTCATTATAAAATCACCCTGGAGATATGGATGTAAGTGATGTACAAACACTTGATTATTGGTAATTACCAATATATTTGTAATAGTATTTTCAGGATAAATGGAGTGAAATTGGTTTAATTTCAGAATAATACTGAAAAAAAATTAAAACATGGCATACTATGAACCTTTCTAAAGGTAATTATCTGTCTCTAGCTATCACATCTATTATTCAAAATATACCACAAGATGATATATACAGCTCCTTAGATTTCAAAATAAAACATTTAAAATAGAGGGTTTTTTAAAAATAATATTTTCCATTTAAAATTCACTTTTCTAAGTATTTGGTAGTTATTGGAAAAATAACCATAAATATGGCAAAATATTTCATATTGAGATAACAACAAGGTTTTCAAAAAATATTCATAAGTAAAGTGATCTTTATCTGATTGAATTTAATTTGCGTCCAAGTGCTGGGAGAAGTTTTGGAAAACCTTTAGAGTGATGACATGTCTCTGTGCTATAAACCTAATAAAGAGCATTCTCTCGACATTAATTACAAATAAAATATGACTTGCATTTTTATAATTACTTCTTCCTCCATATGGTAATGTTTGCATTGAACTGCACAGAGATAAATGCATTTAAATATTTACTTTAAATGAAAGCAATTTGGTGGTGCAAACGCAATTGCTTCTACAAGGAAACCTACAACATAACCTTCAGTCCCACTGATCAATGCAAGTGCACTTCTCATTTCCTTTAGAGCAGTGTGCACGGAGTTAGGGACCAGGTCAGGCTGAAGGAAGATGGTAAGACCAGAGATAGCCCACAGTTCAATTGTCTAATGCATACTTCTTCACCACCAACTTTTAACTCAAAATCTCAGGAAAAGAGCACAAAATTTTTAGGAATGTTACATACTTAATGCTCAATAAAATAGTGGCAGCTTAACTTCCAAAACATCCAATTCCCCCAAAAAACAACAGCAGTTCTTTCTCTGTGCCAAAATGGTCTGCAGTGCTGAGCTCAACATAGGACATGGTGTTGCCATTTACAAAAATATTTCACTCAGGCTCTGGAGAGTGGTAACCAGGAAGAAAAGATGAAAAATATCAGGCTACTTGAACTTCTTATCTACCCAATGTATAGCAGTCTTATAAAATAATCTTTAAAAATCTTTAAAAGCAACAGTGGAACTTAAACTACAGTAGAATGGCATATTGAATAGGTTCAACTAGAAAAGAGACATATATCTTAAAACTACTTAAGTTCATATATTGCTATAATCTTCTGGTTTTCAGTCATACTAATTTCTCATATATTTGAACCATTAAAATGTCAGTGAGTATAAAAGAACTTCAAATATTATACATCTATATAAAATTTGATAAGTCAACATTTGGCATACTGTTATTTCTTTGCTTATTCAAAGCCCAAAGATTTCAGCTTCTGTTCATATTCTCTTTTATTTATAGATTTTATTTTGTTACGGGTGTTTCCTATTGTAATGTTTTTTACTCTGTTTTACAGGAGGGGTTCAAAATGGGACTAACTCTTGAAGGCACCGTGTTTTGTCTCGACCCATTAGATAGTAGGTGCTGATGTCAAGAACAAGAGAGCCTGACTCATTTAAATTTGTTTTTATACATATATATCATTCATTATTACCTTAAGACAGGTATTATACATGTGCAAATATATTTTTGAAAATCTTAATGTTTTGAAAACTGTTGCAGTAAAATTTAAATTTTCCTCACATTCACCGCTGACCTATGTCTTTTATTTTAAAAACAACTTAGCATAATGTATTTCATTCTTTTATGTCCCTTTCTGTTCCTGTTATATATGCATTTGTAATTGAAAGATGAATTATCCAAATACTTGTCTTGTCTGAGTTCTAAATAACCAGCAGATTGAAGTTTGTGTTCTAGTTATTGGTGTCCCAAAAGCCATACTTCAATGATACGATTTAAAATCCTAAAGGAATATACCAGTGCAAACTAAACATGTTCTGTTTTCAAACCAATAAATGTGTTATTATTCATTAGACAGATGTAATTTTATGTATAAAATGTTCACATGATTGGGAAAATGTAAACTTATGCCAGCAAGTGACACCAAAGTGACTTATGCCACCAAGTCACTTATTTTTAGCTGCTAAAATAAGAACATAAATTCCAATAATAATATATAAGATGTAGTCAGAGTAACAATATTAGTTAATTTCAGTTATACTCTAAAATGTTTAAATTGCCTCCTAAGTAATAATTATGGAAAAATAAAAATTTACTATTGACAAAATCTTAAAATTGCATTTCTAATGTGTTAAGTTACATTACTATAATATCTAAACATCACCAGATCTGGTATTTCCTAAGAAAACATTTGGAATGTACACCATCTGTAGGTATAATGCCTACTGTCCAGACTTGCTTTACCAAATTGATTTCTCTTCATTAAATAAGGCCTTTCCTTCTCAGATTTTATGCTTTGATAAAGACATTTTCCTCACTAACGTTCATTTTGTGATTTCCCATCAGTCTTAATATTTTAAAATTTATGGCAACTATTCTATATAAATCACCCAACTATTTAGCAAATTTGATTTGTATTTGTTTTTTTGAAGTCAGAATCTCATTTTTCACAAAAGTTAAGTTTCTGAACAACTTTATCTTAAACAAGAGCAATAAAATTTTGTGCACCTCATTCTTGATGTGCTGATACACCCTGACCTTTACAACATTTGTTTCCAATATCTTTGCCCATCATGTAGCAGACTAACAGTAATATTGCAGAAAAGATTGTAGTCAAAATTTCTAGCTTGCTACATTATAAGAAAAATTAAATTAATGAAAATGTGGGTTCAGTTTGGGCAGTCATCAAAAGTAAAAGAGTCAATAGATTCTTTTACTCATGGGTATTGTATTTAAGTTCTACAGGTACATTTTCATTAAGAACAAAAATCATACATGCTTATGCAATATTGTATTTGTATCTCCACAATATTCTACGATATATATCAGCCTTCTTATTTGTGTTTTGTTATCTGCTAAGATGTACCTTAACTAGAGGTTACTATATGTTTCATAAAGAAGAGTCTTTATAGTTTTGTTTGTCCTATAGTATTTTGGAATTTGTACAATGAGGATGTTTAGAAGCCATATAAATGGCTTTTTTTAACAGATAGAATTTGTATTTTTATTGTACTTTAAAAAGCTTTATGTAATAGGTGTATATTTAGTGGCCATTTGCTATCAATGGTAACACAATAGAGTACTAAGATGATATTTGCACATTTAAAATATGTTATACCAATTTTAATGGTAATCAATTCTGCTACTGGCATGATTAGATAGTATATAATTGGTCATTAATTATGAACATTTATCTCACCGGTACATTTTTATGAAGACAAGATTGAAAATTGTATTTCTATGTAAACTCAATAGTATGTTTGATTTTGCTGAGAATAAATGATTTTAAAGAAATTAAACTGTATAACTTACTCATTATACTCTAGACAAACTCTGAAGCTACATGCATAGCAGATTTTCTTGTTCATACATTGGAGCTGAACAAAGAAAGAAAGAAAGAGCTTTACTTTTCATTTCATTTCTTACAGCCCACACACATTTTAACTTTATGAGCAAATATCATTCAGTTGTGAGAACACAGACTTCAGCATGCTGGTGAGAGAGGTCATGATTTGGTTCCTCTCACCAGAAGCATCTATGTAATAATTGTCTTATGTAAATATCACTTTTAAAAATTGCTGGCTTTTTTGGCCCAGTAATCATACAAAGGTAATCTTGGCAAATAATCTTAAACAGTGGACTTGATAATAGGATTTGAGTTGAGGATAATTGTGCTATTATGAAGAACTTGTGAACTTATCCAAAACATAGTGTTAAGCATTTTAGAGGTGTAGAGGTCTCATCTGCACAGCTCTGCACACTGAACAAATCACCAATTCATTCATTAAAATTTATTTCTTACTCACATATTTGAATTACATGTATTATGTGGATAAGAAAACCTGGAACTCTTTTTTTTTTTTTTTTTTTTGGCGGACTAGGTTTGAACTCAGGGCCTGCACCTTGAGTCACTCCACCAGCCCATTTTTTTGTCAATGTTTTTTTCGAGATAGGGTCTCGCAAGCTATTTGCCTATGGCTGGCTTGAACCGCAGTCCTCCTCCTCTCTGCCTCCTGGGTAGCTAAAATTACAGGCAGGAGCCATGGGCACCCAGCCTGCTACCTGGTATTCTTAAGTTGACAGCATTTCTGCCTTCATTTAATTTGTCATAAAGGAAAAGTAGGAGAAGTATATGAGTTAATAAATAGAGACCACTATGTATTAAAGTACTATGTGAACCAATGTTCCTGAGAACATTTCTATTTAACTATGTTTAAACATGGATGCTATGAAGTGATTAGTGTCTACACTGTTGCATAACCAGGACAGTATAATAGCAAAGATTTTCTTCAACTCTTCTTGTTTCTTGCATTTTGAATTTGAAGAATCAAAGATGAGTGTCATATAATTAAGGAGCATTCTCTGTACTCAAGGGGATAAAGAATTATATTTGTTGAGTCTATGTATTAAAGAAAACTCAAAGTACAAATTTTCTTGAATTCCACATTGTGGGCACATGGTCTTTTCATTGCTTCTAAGTATTTTTAAGTTCATCATTCCTTCCTTAACTTTTTATTGTCTTCTTCACATGAGATTTCTTAAGAACAATGTTGAAATTCTTCCCGACTGACTACTCCTTCTCCTTTGTCTGGCCAGGCTGCTATGTTCTAGTCTGGTCAAAGGTCACTTGTTCCAGTTGAAATAGCTGTCTGGATGGCCTGGAAGTAATCCAAACTCTGGCTCTTTCCTGCAAAGAAAGCAAAGATAGATATTTGCCTCCTGCCTATATTTTGAAAGAAAAAAATAAAAGAATTTTATGGCTGAATCGACTAATACTTTAAAAAAATCATATAATTCTAGAACCTACTTAAGATTGTTATTTTCCAATGTTTGGTGTTATTTTACTTATTATACACCTTTAAAAATTAGTTGCCTACCATCAGCATCATAAAATACTTTACTAGATAATTGTATGTCATAAATATATACAGAGAGATTTTAGCAGATTCAGAAAATTCTAATTTCTTTCTTTCTCCATACACACTCCCCACCATTTAACTATTCATCTCTTCATTTATTTATTTTGTAGCTGTTTTAATTGAAGATAAGTTAATTTGTACTAGACAGTGGACAGCACAGGGACGGGGAAGAGAGAGGTAGTGAAGGGATCGTCATAAATCCTTAGAGATATCCACTTATACCCACTGGACAAAGTGACTGTGTGTAGATATTTGACCTGATCATTTTCCAGAGAAGCTAGACTATTTGTGGGAGTTCACATGTATTATCTATTTTTTGTTTTAAAAAGAAGTCCTCCAAATAAACTTCAGAGTAAGGAAACATTATAAGGCATGCATTCCATCTTCTTTTAGTTGCATCCTAGTGGCAGATACATATGGAATCATTGGCTACTAGGCAGAGAATTGGAGATAATCATCCCATAAAAGAGGATAGAAGTGAACACAAAACTGCCTCAATCTTTGCATCTCTTCTTTATCAGCATCTTTCATAGAACTGTGTCCCTTCATAAAAGTCAAAGTAGAATGCAAGGCAAAAGCTTGATTCTAAAATTCTCTCCATTCTCAAAGTTTCTTAACCTATGCACACATTTAGAGACAAACCCCAGAATATACTTACACAAGAAAAATAGAGCCGGACCTTCTCTACAAAAGTATTAATGGTTTGATGCATTTTCAGGATAACTTTCTGGCAAATGTCATATGCCTCAAAGTAATTCCCTCCTTCAAGTGAAGATTAAATCTTGAAAAGGCTGGCAAAGTAAATGATAATACTACACTAAAATATCAAAAGTGTTCTAAAATGTGCTCACAAAGATAGAAATTTGTCAGTTCAGACTTTGTTATGTCTGTTTTATGAGAACCTGCCTGTATATTATTAAATTTTATAGAGAAGCTTCATATCAATGAATGTGAATGCTAGAATCCTTTCTTGAATTGGATTCAAAGAAAACTTGCCTTGGACATGTTATGTTAAACTCCCTTAAGTAGATTTTTTTGGTAAAGCTTTTCTTGTTTGTTTTACCTATAAAGGAATGAAAATTCAGAGAAGATTAAATCCCCAAAGTCCCTGTTAACTTTTCCAAAAGTACCATTCACTTCTCATCACTCTGGGCTGTTTCTCAGTTCTGAATCATAGAACTGAAGCTACAGACAACAGCTGTCCACATAAACCACTCAAGTATTTATTTCTATATTCAAATTGATCAAATTTCTTCAAATATTTAGAAAATATTTTACAAAAAGTAGAACCTTAAATGTTTACTATTTAGTAAATATTTCCTTTTTTAAAAAAGAAACTATTAGAAATGTCCATCTCATCAAAAAAGATTAATTAAATAGTTTCTAGACAAAAAATATAAAGTCAGTGAGACCATGGAAAGCACATGACTCATATGACCTAGTTGAGTTTATTTAGAACACACACACACACACTCACAAAAATTTGGGATTCCATCAAAACCAGATTGTTTCCCGTACTGTTTCCAGCTAAAAATTAGAAGGTCAAAGGAAAATTGGACAAATCTC